GCCGCAGAACCGATCCTACGACATCCCGCCTAAGAAACCCGCTCCTATCCGTTGCGCTCTGCTGCCACGTTTCAGAACGATTCCATACGTAAATGTAAAGACGCTTCAACGTTTCCTCGCGACAGCACGTGAAACGACCATGCGGGGATAAAACCCTTCATAACTCCGTTCAGAGAATCGTTCTGCAAATTTTGAAGACAGTTCTGTGTTCACCTTCCCAAGACGCGTACAATGGTGTGCAGCTCATTGGAAATGGCCGGGCTGACCTGTTGACCTTTCCTGGTAAGGCAGGTGAATTTTCTGGATCGCTTTTGACGGCCAGCAAACGGAGAAGCTTTCTCTCATAGATGTAAAGTGTTTTTACATCTAATTCAAACTAAGGTCGGCTTGACAACTTCATTTCCTTTCAGCTCAGGTCTTCGAGTCAGCATTAGCGGATACCTTTTTCTTAAAGACTCTAGTAATCTTAGACTAACATAACAACGCAAGCTGAAGGGGCGACGAACTTGAAAGAAATGCGTTAGCGGAGGAGTGCTCCCCTTAGAGAAAGGATTCGCTACCTCGGGATAATAGTGCAGACAAGCACAAGCAGGCTGCTGCAATCTGTTCCCCTCCCGCGTTCTTAACACGTTGACGACGGTGTCGGACAATGGTGGGCGACAGCCAGTCTGTCTCATGGGACGGTGTCGGACAATGCTGTCCGACAGCATACTGCTCTAATAATAAAGACGTGCGAGCAACCAAATTTGTTCAAAAGATGTCTATAGGAGTAGGCTGAAATTCTGAAACGAACAGCACACTGATTTGGCCCGGACTGCCCGGCGCCCGCGCCCAGGCCGGCGGCGCCAAAATACCTTAAGTCCACCAAAACGCGCTGAGAAACTTGTTTGCGTGGGGTAGATGTTAGCGCCTGAACACGATATCACATTCATTTCCCGCGAAAATGTCTCGACGCCAAAATACTTCAGGTCACCAAAATCGTTGAAAACTTGTCTCGTAGGTTAGCTTGACCCCTGAACACGAATATCACGATCGCTTGCCACCAAACTGCCTGGCGTCCCCGCCAAAATATAGATCAGTTCGAATTTCCCTAAAACTTGTCTTACCGGTGAACAGACCCGCCCTCAAAAGAATATCCATGTCCATCGTCAAGCGCTGACGACGATTTTCCGTCAATGTGGACATACGAAAGTTTGTCTTGTGAAGCAGCGTGCGACAAATGGTGGTCCCACAGTTATTATATAACTCAAGATCTGCGCGATTGTTTCACTTTCTTTTCATGAAATTAGTTCAAGATTAAACATTCGGGTCGAGGGATGCGACATTGTTCTTTAGGAGATCAAACCACCCCGGGAGACAAATTTTCAGTCAATTCTGTCTTTAGAGGAGAATTTGGTAAAAAATGGCCTGATTTTGGAAGATTGGAGCAATGAGAGCTAAATTGTGCCGGAGATTCGAGATTGCTATACTCGTCTCTTGCATTTCTCGATAGACTTTGGTTGTAGTAATTCATTTATTTGGAAATTACTAAGTTTCAGAGTAGAAAAATGTGCCGTCCCAGGCGCAAGTCATGGAAAAAAATGGCCCGTCGTCACGTGTTAATCGCTCTTGGTGCCCATGCAGAATGTGACATGAAGTTCACAAATAAAACACCCCTGGGGACAAGTTTTCAGCAAGGTGCCAGACGGCTTTCTTGCCAAGCTACAGCGATATGGTGTTTGGGGGGGGGGGTTAATATACCCTAGGGGCCGATTCCCAGACGAAAGTTCTGACCGCCACTTCAAACTGAGGCAGAAAACGTTAAACAGGCCGAGAGTCGCAATAAAGAAACCAAAAAGTAAATAAAGAAGCTGGATCTTTGAGCACGCCACTGACCAAACATTCTGGCAGTTCGACTGTTTGAGCACAGCTACGAATTACCTGAATGAGCGTTGAGAGCACGTTGATCGACGACCCAAGTTCCACCTTCATGCATTCTGTATATGTGGATATTCCGGGATTGATCTCCAGAGGCAAAATCACCCTTAATTATATAAGTAGCAAACAAGTAATTTAGATCTTGGTAAACAAGTACTCGCACTATACCTGCTTGAGTACCGACCATCCAAGCGCGAATCCTTCCTTCTTTGTGATGTAAGAGAACATGGGTTTCTCCTTAAACAGGAATATTTCGGAACCTTCAGTCACTGTGATTGTGAGGTCAAAACTTATTATGGTGCCTGATTCAGCACTATTATTGAAATTGCCTTACGGGTAGCGAAAGAGGAACTTCCGCTAACGCAACGATCACGGCAAATATTTTTTTCTACTGTCAGAAGAAACTAAGCTTACTTGGATTTGCTTTTCTTCTTTGCCTTTGGTTGACATCTTGCTGCAATCGTTTACAGCATTCGTTAAATTCCAAAGTTGCACTTTACCGATATCATTCCATACTGCACATACCGTTCCGTCACCGAGACGTTGAGCCTGAAACAGCCATGAGTGCATAGAATCGGGGAATACCCTCTAAACTGATTTACCCTAGACTTTGAGGTAAAAAAACGATTCCAAAAGAAAAAAAGGCCGAAAAAAACAACAAACAAACAAACAATTCAGTACCACAACGGCGTTCTGTTGTAGATAGCAAACACTACAGGATTACCGATAATATATTTCATACAGGGTGCAGCATCGTAATCTGTGAAGTGGTGGTGTCAGTACACCCTAACCCTCAATTTTCTCATCTGGTACGACTCCCTTCTCTACCATCTCCCCGGGTTTTCCCCAACTCCCTACCACTTTTCTCGAAATTTCAGCTTCTCTGCAGGAAACAGTCCTCGAGCAACGA